TAGTGATAACTGCCTTGGAAACCCAAGGAGGGGTCGCTAGGAGTCGGGGCCGACTCGATGGCAAATAACAACAACAACATGAGACCACTCAACATTAACCCTGAAGCAAAGGTAAGGGGGGCAGGGAATTAGATTAAGGAAATGGAAAAACCAGAACAGAAATATTAAGAATGTTGATACACTGTAAAGTGTAACCAGTATCACTGAACAGTATGTATAGAAATTGTTAAATGGGAACCTAATTTACTGTGCAAATTGTCAGTAAACACACAATAAAGTCTTAAATAAATAATAGTAATAAAAGGATTTATAGACAGTAAAAGAAAGTGAAATTATAAATCCTTGTCCAACCAAACTTATTGCCGTCAAGTCAATTCAACTCACAGTGACCCTTCCTTGGGTTTCTGAGGCGGTATCTGTACAGAAGTAGATTGCCCAATCTTCCTTCTGAAGAGTTGCTGGTGGGTTTGAACCTCCATCCTTCTGGTTACAGTCAAATGCCTTAGGCACTATGCCACCAGAGCTCCTAACAGTATTCTAGCCCATAGAAATTATTTATTAGATACTTGTTCAGTGAATGAAATTGATTAAGTAAATGAAGAAAGGGAAGGGGAAGGAGGGGAAAAGGAACCTAACTTTAAATTTTACATAATATGAAGTGATTATCTGGCAAAATATTATGATGCTAAATGCCCAAGCCTAGAACTTGGGGGAACTGAGTTTCAGTCCCAGAATGTAAACCTCAGATTTCTCACTTGAAAATATAAGAGATTGAACTAGATATTCAGAAATGCTTTTTAGCTTTTATTCTAGGCCCTCCCCCTTTCTTCTACCACAGGGGATGTGCTCACACACTTACCTACTCATCCCATCCACAGACCCACAGCCCCTGCATCCCTGTGCATAAATGCAGAACTGATGGCCTTCAGTGGCAGGGAACAGCCAATCAGGAGCTCCTTTGGCTTTGTATTATCAAACACCCTCTTGGTCCCCACACAAACAATTAGCATCCCTGCAGGCTTTGTGGGGTAGGCCTCCTCAACAATCCAGACAAATTCACATCAAGTCAGGTCTCCAGAAGGTCTCACTTTTTAAGAAGAAGGTTTCAATTAAAACTGGTTCATAGTAGATCATACTAATTGAACATGTGTTGACTGACCTTACTATACTTATTGAGCCTTCTGGCTAGTTCCTACTGATCATCACAAAGGAAAAGCAGTTGCCTTCAATCAGCTCCTACTCATGGTGACTCCATGTGTGTGAGTAGAACTGTGCTCTGTAGGGTTTTCAAAGGCGATTTTTTTGGAAGATGATTGGCAAGTCTTTCTTCTGAGGTACCTCAGGGTGGACTCAAGTCTCCGGCCTTTTGGTTAGCAGCTGAGCACATTAACTGTTTGCACCACCAGGGACTCTGTCACAAAGGAAAGGGAGAATAATTAGTATGAGTGGGGGGAGTTACCTTGAAATTGGGGAAGGCACAATGAAAAATAAAAAATATGTGTGAAAATATCATAAGACAGCCTTGGAATAATAGCCTTGTCTCATGGTTTCATGTATTAACCTCTTTTTCACTCACTTTTCTGCAGGATTGAGGGTCCAGAGTCTGCCTTCATCAGCACCCTTGCTTGTTTCTCTTCCTACAAAAATTATCCCACCGACATCCATCTGGACTAATTCTCCACAAAGCACTGCTGCAGCCACAGCCTCCCCTACAAGTGGCACACACAGCAACTCATTACTACCAGTGACATCATCAGCCCAAACATCTCCACTTCCACAAAATATTTCCATAGAGCCCAGAAAGGAGGAGAACACCGGGCCAACTTCAAATTGGGAAGGCACAAGCATAGACCATTCATCTCCTGGGTTTTTGCCAACAAGTGGTGGAGTCCCTTTAACTGCCACACCCACAGAACACAGCTTCAGCACTTCTGAAACAAGTGTGTCACCTGCAGGGTCCCAGTCACCTGCTGAGTCTCCCACAGTCATCTCGTCTCAGACTCCAGCCTCATCACCATCATGGCTATCAACTTTACCACATGAGGTTTCTTCTGCCTCCATCACCACTGACAGCAGCTCAGCTGTGACCAGCACCAAGCCCCCAGAAACCCCAACCCTACCAGAATCCCCAACAGAGGAACACAGCTCTGGCCACACACCCTTTTCACATGACACTGCTGGGCCAGTGACCCAGGAGACAACACCCCCAGCAACTGTGCCAACTAAGGTAACCTGTGAGCTGCTAGACATCGAGACCACCACTGCCTCCCCAGGAGTGATCATGGAGGAAGTAGAACACGCATTAAGTTCAGGTGAGTCTATGTCTAGAATATTAGTGCTGTTGAGTACACTGAGATGGTAAGAATGCACTTTGGTTAACCAAACACAATTGATTAAGGTTGAATTTTGGAATGTGACACTTGAGCCAAATTATAATTCCACAAGAGTGTAAATGTTATAGTTTAATACATTCCATATGTTATTTATTAATTGTGGCTAGATTATCTACGTCTGTCTAGTTCCAGTATTCTGTCTTGTTATTTTAGACCATCCCATGTGTCTTGACTTCTTCAATTCTAAGTTAGCAGAGTTAAGAGGCAGAAAAAAAAAAAAAAGCGGTGGCAGAATTGGGTCCTGAACTTTATAACCAACCAGCCAGTTGTCATCAAGACAGTTCTGACTCATGGCGACCGCTTGTGTGTCAGCGTAGCAATGTGCTCTAAAGGGTTTCCAGTGATTAATTTTTCGGAAGTGTATCTTCAGGCCTTTCTTCTAAGGCATCCCTGGGTGGACTTGAACCCCCAACCTTTGGTTAGCAGCTGAGCCCATTAGATGTTTGCACCACCTAGGGACTCTGAACCTTTTTAGGCCTACATAATATTGTACACAGTAGGAGCTCTGGAGGAAACGAATGAAAGAGTGATTGAATAACTTGTAGAGGATAAGTGTGGCAGGTTAGAGGGAGACTACTGAGCTTGAGCCTGTGTGCATTTCATTTCATTGTACTTATATACATATACATACAACCCATTAAATCCAAAATATTTTTTGTGCTTCTACCAAAACCTTATGCTTGATGCAAGGAAGTATCAGACCTGTCCTCTGAAATTGTATAGTTTATATAGAGAGAAAAGGCACATGGACCAATAACTCTTAATACCACTCATTACTTTCGACTCTGAGAATGAACCAAGATGGTTGGAAATATCTTTGAGATGATGTGATACAATCTGCTCATTTCATAGGTGAAGAAATTATGTCCCCATAGTTCTTTGGCCAAGGTCACACTGCTCAGTGCCAGCTGGGCCTTGATCCCAGATCCACTAAACCATAATCAAGTCTTCTTTTCACTACCAAGTATTCCTACACTGCTCTTTTCTTAGCCCAGCAAACCAAGCAGCACCTCGTGAGATTGTGCTTATAGATTACTATTTTGGGATATTCTTGTTTAGAGATTCTTGCCCTGCTTGTAGTAATAGCAGTATTAATACCTTCCTTTTGTAAGCATATTCTTTATGGACTCACATAGCATGTTTCTAGTAATCCTTGTAAGGACCCATCTACTGAACAAATATCTAACCATAGTCACCAGTAAGTAGTACTTCTCAAACAAAGTAAATGCTTTCAGAGTAAAGTTTGACAAAAGGGATTAAGGAAGGTTCTGTGATAGAGAGAGCACATGAGCTGAGTTGTAGGAGATGAAGGATTTAGGGCGTAAGGAGAGAGAGAGGGAGCAAAGGGGATTCAGCCACAGGAACCCTTGTGAACAAAGCAGGGAGCAGGCCCAGTAGACGATCTGCAGACTCGTATGTGGGAGACTCCTGGATTCAGAACTCAGTCCTCTCACTCAGTGGTTTTACACACTGAAATTGCTCTTTTTAAGGGACCCAGTCCCTCCATTTAGTCAAGTCTAGTGGTTAATTCTTAGACCAAGTTTTACCTACTTGTCGGCAACATTTGAAACAGATGATGACTGCCCTCATCTTTAAAGCCATCTCCACTTGATCTCTAGGACATGATCTCTCTTGGTTCTTCACCCAGCTCAGAAGCATCTCCTCCATCTCAGTCTCTCTCCAGTTTCCTCCCTCTACAGGCAGTACTGGCCCTCTTCCCTCCCGATCTCTTCACATTCACACTCTCCTCCCTCTCTTCTTTTCTCTCCACACTCACTCCCAAGGTGATCTCAGCCAGTCTCCCTTAAATGCCATCCAGATTTAAAATTCTGTGTCTGTTTTTTTTTTTTTTTTTTCTTTTTTTCCATTGAACTAATGATACGAATATACAGCTGTCAAGTAACATCATCTCCACTTGCATGGCTCATAGGCATCTCAAACTTAATATGGGTAAGATTAATTATTGATTTCCCAGACCAGCTCTCAGTCTGTGTCTCTCTCAGACTTCCCTCTCTCTTCTTTCAGTTCCTCAGGCCAAAAACTTTAGACTAACCCAAGACACCTTTCTTTCTCTTATACACATCCAGTCCATCAAACCCAATCTCTTCTCAACCCTCCATCATCTCTCACATGTGTTATTTCAACATATGTGTTATTTCCTCTAACTGATCTCTCTACTCCCACCCTTGCCAGAAATATCCTTTTAAAATCCAGGACAGACTCTGTCACTCTTCAGCTCTAGCCCTCCAATAGCTTCCTCTTTGAATCAAAGTAAAAGCCAAAATCTGTATCATGCCTGCAGTGCTCTGCCTGATGTGACTTCTCACAATCTTTCTGCTCTCACCTTCTTGCACTTTCACCTTAGCATTTTCCATCCATATCTTTAATGGTTTACATTTTTTTTTTTCTTCAGTCAGGACCTTTGTTTAACTGTTACCTCTTCAGTGAGCCCTTTATTCGCACTGTTGTCTGAAATAGCAGCCCCTCATCACAGTCGATTCCTTTATCAGCTTTATTTTTCTTTTGATCGCTTAGCATTTTCTGGCATCATCTTGTTTATTTGGTGGGTTTCTATAATCTGTCTTTAGAATATCATCTCCATGAAAGCAAAGACATTGTTTACAACGAGGAAGATAGAGCTTACATCTATAACATCTACAGAGCCTGACACACAGCAAACCAAACCAGTTGTCACGCATTGATTCCAACTCACGGAGAAACTGTGTGTTTCAGAGTAGAACTACATTCTATAAGGTCTTCAGTGGCTATAATTTTTCAGAAACAGATCTCCAGACCTTCCTTCTGAGGCTTCTCTGGATGGATTTGAGCCAACAACCTTTTAATGAGTAGCCAAGTTCTTAACTGTTTGCACCACCCAGGGCAAACTGACACATGGTATGCCTACAATAACATCCATTAAATAAATGAATGATAGAGTCAATCAACAAGGCAAGTTATTTACTCTCTCTGTGCCTCAGTCTTTTCATCAGTAAGATGGGATAAAGACAATATCTATATGATTGATGGTTGTAAGGTTTAGTTGAAACGATAAATTTACAACAGAATAGCTATTAAGCAGTGACTCAATTTATGGTTGTGCTTGTTGCATTTTACTATATTATTAATTTACATTGTTATTAATAGTAGTATTACTGTTCTGTCATTATAATAATTATTATTATCACTATTATATTTATTATAATGAAAAAGGCCCATCGTCTTCATTTATTCAGCTTCTCCTGTGAAAGTCTCCAGTTAGGTACTAGGTATATATCCATAAATAGGACAATCACTTCCCTCATGGATTTTACAACATAGCATGTACACAGCATAGCAGGTAACCTGGTTGGTGGATGCCAGGCTCAGAAGGGTTGGGCAATCTACTTCCATAGAGATACCACCTCAGAAACCCAAGGAGAGGTCACTATGAGTTGGATTTGACTCAACAGCAGTAAGCTTGTTTTGTTTTGTTTTGTTTTTAGGCTGCCTGGAGCAAGAATTTGCAGATAAAGCAGGAACAGAACAAGTATTGGAGGACCCTAGGTAGCAGGATAAGATAATTAGCTTTACTTGCCAAGCCATTGATAGTCATTTAAGGCTTTTGATTAGGGGAAGAGCATACTCAGAATTATATTTTAAGAATATGCACCTAGCAGCAATGCGTATAGTAAGTTGAAGGGAGTCCAGCAATGGAAACATGTAGACCAGTTAGGAGACCTGGTTCCTGGCTTGTCTTTGTCACTGATAAGCATGTCACTTCATTACTCTGACTTTAAGTGTTCTCAACTATAAACTGAATATAAGGTAGGCACTTTTTCAACTCCTTTTGGCTTATCATACTACAATAATTATTTATTACAATTATCTAGTGCACAAAGAATGAGATTCATATTTATCTGAGACTTACCAAGAATATACATGTTCCAAGAATTGGGCTAGCAACCAACACAAATACACCCTCTCATCTAATCCTCATAACATTCCAGTGAGGTGAGCAATGCAGTATCTATTATACAGGTGAGAAAACAGGTTCTGAAAGATTAAGGAACTTAATTAAGTTCTCAATTGAGTGACCAGGCCAATATTCAACCTTACTTCTTCTGACCCTAAGTCAAGTGTTCCACTGATACTACTTGACTTCACATCAAGAACTACCGTGGAAATAAGCTAATGAGATGTTGTCAAATGCTAAGTTGCCAAAGCTGATTCTAAGGAGAGGAATAACTCAATGGGAGGGAGAGGTTAGTGGTATCTAAAAACAGCTTTGAAGAAGAAATAGATTTTGATTCATTTTTGTTTTTCTGCTTTTGGTTTGCCTTTCAAGGGAGAGGGAGAGAGAGAGACATGATATTGTGTTAAATTTGGGTCATCTTGTGTTGTTAAATTAGAGCTTTCAAGGGTACAAACTATGAGTATAGTTTGTTCTTGTATCCCTGAGCTAAATCGCATGGCTCTGTAAACAATTAGATGCTCAGTAAATGCTGAGAAATTAATCAACATTTTACATCAAGTTATACTCAAAGTGTCATTGATCTTTATACAAGCAGACTTTAAAATTACAGTCACTTTGCTTATTGCAAAGTGGATATTCTCTTTTGTCTGTAAATTATGGTCTTAAGCTAACCTTTATGTTCCTTTACAAAGTGAAGGGCATATAATTGTGTTAATTTGCCCTTTGAATTTTAAATTGCCAGTCTGAACCCCAGTATTTATTCTGGTCAAATGAACAGTCCAGATAAGCAGGTACAAACATCTAGACATCTCTGTGTCTATACCTGCAAGAGACTTTCGGCTCTACAAGACATCTCTTTATTCCATGATGAACCTTTAGAATGAATATACATATGAATAAGATTAACTCTTAAAAAAGGTGGATGAATATACATTGGAAGATTAGTTCTTATAAAAGCTGGATGAAT